GAAATGTTGGTGGTCATGGTTCACCTGTAAATAAGAATCCAGCAGACATGCTGACGAAAGTCGTGCCATGTGAAAAACTAAAGTTATGTGCAACCTCAGTTGGTTTGTTGGAGTAACAAGCTGGGAAGCCTTTCTACATGATCAAGGTGTGAAGACAGATTGAAATCAGTTTCAAATGGAAGATTGTTATTATCACACATTAAAAATGATGGACGGTAATAAACGGTGACGTGAGTTCACAAAGTCAAGAATTGTTGGTTCCATATTATCAATAAAAGAGTCTTCATTGTCAATGTTTGTTGGCATCTACCAAACCATAAGCTTCTACAAATACCTTCGTGAGGTGAGAGCCAAAAACCATTCCAAAAAACAAAAGAAAAGAACAACAGAAGAAGAGAGTATGCAATAGAGAAAATTAAGAAAATATTCCTTATGAGAAAATCTTTGTTTATAATAAATGTAATTTTTTGAGTGTATTTTGGATATGTTGTGAGCTGAGAGTATTGTAAAATTTCCCGAACTGATAATAGAAAATCTGTATAGGAGGTCCGGAGACGTAGACACGATTGACTGAATTCTGTTAACAATTTTTTTTGTGTTTTAATTTTGTTTTTCTCAGTAAAATTTGATCTGTATTTCCTAACAACAATCAGAAATAGTAGCAACAACCGGTTTTCTCAACAAAAAAATACAACCGTTTTGTCAGACGCTGTTTTCTTTTAAAGCATTACTAGCCCCATCAGAAACATCTTGAAAATAGTCGCCGCTATGGTAAAAGAATCATTAAATCCAGGTGGATCCACGAGATCTGTCGAGGAAAATGGAGAGGTTTCTTCTCTATGGGGGAAAGCGATTGTCTCAAGACAAAGTCACAAGAAGGCGGAGTAGTCCCGAGGTGGCAGTGATGTCTACCTTAGTTTTTGGTTCTCAATGGATATCTAAAAAATCTTTTTAAAACATTGTATTCTTTTAGATAAACTGTTTAAAAATTGTTGTATAGATGGTCCATGCCTTCATGGGACATATTAAGCTTGTTGCCTCTGCTTTTTTTACATATTGTGCTCTGTAGTTATTTGGGTGGTTGTCTAATTAACAGTCAGTTTTGTTTTTTTCTCTCTTTTTAGTTTCTTTGTGTGAACAATACAATTCTTAATCATTCAGCAAATTTCAATTTTTCTCTTTGAAAAAAAAAAGTTTCAGATTTCCAAAAGAATAAATTATCATGTTAAAGAATTGTGTTTATGATCTATTCATTATAACTCTATTCTAATTAAAGCGAAGTGCTATTTATTTGTAATTTATAAATACACATTTTTTTTCATTTTTTTAAGTAGACAAGCTAGTATATACTGCGTATACATATTCGTGCGAGACTATTTATACAAACTGTGTCATATAATTTTGTTACTTTATTTAGGGAAGTTTACTAGAATGACACAATTTTTTTTTGTGAAATTATTAAAATAACTCATATTTTTTTAAAAATAGTAAAATATTTATATGGTCTAAATTGGCCTTATCTATAGTTTTAAAAAATAAACTGAATTACAAAAGTGTCATTACCACATAATAGGTGGTAGATTAGATTTGATAAAAATAAATTTATCGGATGTTAGGTCTGTTTGATAAATCTATTACATTAATAAAATTTATCAAAAGTGCGTTGTCAAGCTTTCTTAATAACAACATATTTATTGACTCTCCAATTTTAACTACAAATATATTTTTAGGATATGTCGAACGAGTGAAGTAGCAGCTTTATTATAAATTTTAGATTTTTCTGGTACATAGACTTAATTTTAAATGGCAGATTTACATATCGGAGTTACTTTTGTAACATATCTTTTTATTTACGTAGTGACAGACTTTTAGATAAAAATGAGTTTAAATAAACCAAAATTAATTTGAAGGTAAATTTAAACTTGGTTTAGTTTAGTTTAAATCCAGTTTATTTCTAGTGTAACTAAGACAAATATTAGGGATGAATACTTGATTGAGACTCTAGTTTAATGTTAAACTAGAGTTTGACCCGCACGTCCGTACGGATATTAGGTTTTTTATAAATTAATATTTTATTTTTAGTGATTAGAGTTATATATTTAGATTGTCACCATATAACTAATTGTATATTAGTTATTGAATATTTTTTGGTTCTTCTTAATATCTAAACGAAGTCTAATTTAAAATTCAAAATCTGATATCTGAAATAAACGATTCATATCCGAACAGGTACCTTAATACCCATTTCTAATTGATTCTGTAAATAGATTAAAAAAACTTATTGTTGATCGTTTCAAATTCATGTTCTGAATCGAGCAATTACATTCAAACCTATCGAATTGTTATGTTTAATATAAAATAAATTCGTTTGAATTATTATGTTAATGAAAATTAATAAAATAGTTAGGAAAATGAAAAAAATAAATGTAAAAGATAAAACACTTAAAAATAGGAATTATAGCTTTATATTTTTGCAATAAATGATATCAGATTATTTGGAAAATACAATAAATGAATTAGTTATAACTATTTGGAAAATACAATAAATGAACTGGTTAGAATTAGTTTAAAAGGAAAAAAAAAATGTAAGTAATGAGTTAAGAAAATGCAAGAAGTTTTTTGTTCTTCTATTTTAATAGAGTAGATTCAATTTTGCTTGTTTGAAATTGCAAATGTGCCTTTCAATTAAATTAGAGTTCACTTAGTTTGGTGTTAAATTCAATTAAGTATACACAATGCTTACATGAGAAGAAGGGTGGACAGTGGCTAATCCTGAAGAAAATAAAGGGATTTAGAGATCTCCGATGATGATTGCGCGATTTGAGAATTACCATAGAAGTTGAAGGAAAAAGTGAAAAACATAGTCTCCAGTAGAGGTGACGGAAAAGGTGTAGACAAAGGTGACGGCGATGAAGGCGAGTTAAAGTTAGCGAGTGGTATGCTTCGGTCGAGAATAAGAGGAGATTCTGACCTTCTAGGGATTTTATGATATTAACTTAAATTTTTATTATTTTTAATGAAAACTAGAGCTTGACCCGCATGTCCGTGCGGATACGCATTTTCACTTTTATATATACGAATATTATTTAAATTTTTATTAGTGAGTATTTTAAACATTTGTCTTATTTAAAAATTTTATACACATAATAATTAAATAGTTTACATGCTGTAAAATATTACATAATATTATTAAAAAAAATTTAAATTTGAAGTTTTCTAAAATGTAGCTAAATCATTTTAGGAAATATTTTAATTTCTAAATTTTAGCTAAACCTGATTTACGAAATAATTTAATAAAATAAGGAAAGACAATGATCCTTAAAATTAAGGCTATTTAATACTTCAGTAGCAAGAGAATGTAAATATTGAGGAAAAATTAGGGTCAATTCAATTTTGTACTTCTATTTTAATAGATTAGATTTGTAATAAAGTGAATGATGGGTTTTTAGTAATTTTTTTTGTTCCTTATGTCATTCTAGAAATCGCAATTTAATATGAGTTAGTCTAGTAATTTTTAGTATTAACTCTAGTAATTTTTAGTATGAATGGTGAAGAATAATGCAGATTTTTGTTAATCACCCGTTTCTCTCTAGTATTATATCTCTATAATATTATTTGAGAAGTCAGTTTCCTATGTGTCGCTCTCACGTTCACTCTCATGATGGTTGATTACATTGATACCCTTAATGAATTAAAAATAGTTAAAATAGTATGACTAATTCTTTTATTTAGTTTCCTTTTCAAAAATTTCCAAAAATATATGTAACAAAAAGGAATTTTTTTATAAAGTCATTAAAAAATTAAAAACGAAAAATATATGTATATATAATATGATTTCATAAAAGAAGAAAGTTCACAAAATAGTAATAATACATTTAAAAATATTTTTAAATAACATAAAATATACTTTTAGAGTAATAATTTTTTCTTATAATTAGTATTATTGAATTTTTTATTTATTTTCATATATTTAGTTGACTATAATATCTTTCAATTACATAAAACTATCTATAAATTATATTTTACTTAATTATATAATATTATTTTCATATACAATCACAATTTTATGTAGTGCTTATTTTTAAGAGATATTAAACACAAAAGAATAAATTTAACAATAAACATCTCTTGATCAAATAATTTTATCATTATTAAAATTATTTTTTCTTAATATTAAATTTCTTTTAAATTTTAAATTTTAAATTTTTTATGTTTGTGAAACTAAATATAAACATAATCAAAATACCAAAGCAAATATGAATTTCCAATTTTAAGATTATTTAAAATAAATTTCAGTTTACATTCAATAAATCTAAAGCATAAAGTTATTTAGAATTTACAAATATTTTAGTTATTGTAAATATTGATATGTGTTCATGAGGTTCCAAAAATGTATCAACAACTTATGCATGTAGCCCTTTATTGATCATAGGACAACACAAAACATATTAACAAATGAAAATAAATATTAACCAACTCTTACAATTTTAGTCCTTTTGTAAAATTTATATATATATGCATGAGACTTTGGAATATTATCGTTATATTAATTTACGTATTTTGGAATCAGACACTTTAGTTAATTTTTAATTCATTCTAAGCACAATATATCTTAAGTTATACATAATTTTACTAAAATTATTTACATATCTAAGACAACATCCACTATATGCAAATATATAATTAGTAAAAAAAATAATATATTTTAAAATATTAGAGTTGAATTCAGAGATGCAATCTAATTTATCCAAATGATAACTAAATCAATCGTAAAAACAACAAAATCGACTAGATATAACCTATATAAATTAAAGTATAATTAAAGTAATATAATATTATTAATATAAATGATACATACAAATTAAAAATTAATTGAAAATTAAAATTAAATAGTAATCAATTATTACCATATATTTATTTTAAAAATATTTATACCCGTGCATGAGCACGGGAAAATCACCTAGTGGTTAAGTATGTGTTTACATTAACTTACAGTTACTGTTATCCAATAAAAAATATTATGATTGATTGTAAACATCTTTTTTATTTAGTTACACACATATTATTTGATTACAAGTGTGCTTATATTCGTACAAACCAAACACACATAGATGGCATTTATTAAAACACACAAGCAAGAGTACTAGCTCTTACAACTCACAAATCACACACTCTCACAAGTCACAAACCAGATCCCTCCCATGATGCAACGTTACAACTCACAAACTCACCAACACCGAGAGGTATTAAGCAGAGTCGACGCCATAGAAAAAGATGTCCTCATAACGACCGTTGGTCGGAGCCTTCCCTCCATACATCAACAGCCCCTTTTTCCCATCAATGGAGGCAGTGGTGGATGCGATCCATCCACGAGGGCTATGACCTTCCTCAAGTTTCTCCCACAACAAACTCTCAGTGTCCAAAACAAAAGCCCCACCGGTCAATGCCCCGGGACCCAAATGAGCCTCTGGGTCCATCTCAATCTCACCTCCAGATATAATTATGTATTTCCCCACGACCGCTAGAGCAAACACACTTCTCGCCCACGGCTTTTCACCCCTTGTTTCCACTTTGGTCCACTTACTTTCAACTGGATCAAAGCAATGAACATCCTCCACTTCATCCCCAATAAACCCGTACACAACCCAAATCTTTCCTTGCACAACCGCAAGCCCCGCTCCACCTCTCCCTTTGCAAGACTCTCCTGGATTAGGAAGCTCAGTCCACTTTTGATCAACGATGCTGTAAGCATGAAGTGTGTTGACACGTTCCTTAGCAGTCACTCCACCAAAGATATAAATGTTATTGCCATCAGCAGCCATCGAGTGGAAGCTACGCGGTGCAGGTCCATTGTTGACGTGAGTTATAAGTTTCCACTCGCTTTTAACCGTATCGTAGGAGTAGAAGCCACTGTACTTACGGAAGCCGTCACGGCCACCAAAGATATAGAGTGTAGTGCCGATGGCTACCATGCAAACGCCTAAGCAAGGGAGGTCAGGCACGTCACCGTCTGGATCAGCGAGCGACCATCTGTGAGTCTCGTAATCGAAGACGTAGAGGTCTCGGTCGATGTGAAAATTTGGCTTTAACTCTCCTCCAAAAGCGTACATTTTGTTTCCAACCATTGCTATAGCGTGAGAACATCTTGGTCCAGGTGTCTTTCCTTTTTGCTCCACCTAATGATAAAAGTCACCACATGGTACAAAAAATATATCACGGTTACACATGAAACAATAATCTTGTTCACGAGTAATAGAACGCACAAGAATAATCAAATCTAACTACAATATCAACTTTCTTTTTATAAATTAATACATGATAAATTAATAAATTATTTTCATTTCAAATTGGGTCAATGTAAGATATAACATAATTTGATTAAAATAATATATATATACCTCTCTAAAATCATAAATGTTCTTACGTATATATATATTTAATTCCACTAACTATAAAAAGATTTGACATACTAGAACAATTTTTAACCTACTATATTTTTTGTAACAAAATAATATTTACTTTACGTTTTATAAATTTAAAGCTCAAATGACCGAACCTAATGAAATATGAATTCTCCAAACGAATGACTGAAAAATAATATAATCACCGCATTCATTTCTACTACGTACGTACCTGGATCCACTTGCCATGCAACATCGTGGGAGGTGAAGCCCAAATATAAGCTCCGAGAGAATGAATAACGTCGCTGGAACTTCCATGAAAACCAGTGATTTTCCCACCTTCGAGCAATGACAATTTTGTCTGGGCATTTACACTAACTGGGGTCTTTCCAAACGGCTGAGAGTTTATGCCCTTCAGAGTCTTGAATTGAAGAGACGTTATGGTTTCTATCTTCGAGCCATTGAGTTTTTCGTAGTAAGCTTTCACAGATGTGATGTCATCGTCGTTACCAACCTCGAACACCTCCGTTCCTTGAGAAGTCTTTTCTCCGTGCTCCTGTGTCACTCCTCTGCCGTCTTTTTCGTATTCGAACTTGACATAGGCTACACCGGAATTGCTTTTACCAACAAAAACTTTTCTTACATGATCAAAAGCACCGTCGTCGAATGTTTCTCCACCCTTTCCTCCTATAGCTTCCACTTTTTTGAGAGAAGAGGAACGGGTTAGAACAAAGTACGTTCCAGGAGATATGAGATTCGAGTCAGGGAACTTGTGAACGCCGATGATCTTCTTATCCTTGACTTGGAGAGAAAATGGTTTACCAGTATCCTCAGAAAACTTATATCCAAAGAAATCAGAACCGTTCTCGTCGGTTTTAAACTTAATTCCTTGAGAAACATTGTAAGAATTATACCAGCTCTCGACAGAAACGAGACACTCAGCAGGAGGATTGCTTATCACAAGCTGGAGAAATTACATGCAAAAACTTAGATCAATATGTTATTAATTAATGCATAAATAAACATTTACTCCAGAGAGTAAATATTGCTAACGTACCGTTGAAATGAGGTTTTTACCCTTCACACCATGCAGAAACACTTCCTTTGTCTTCCCGTTCTCTAGATTGTAGAACTTGATTTCCTCAATTCCTATATCGCCAGATGTAATGTAGACCATGGACAACTTGTTGGGAGGAGTTGGTGTAGAAGAGTTTGTAGCAAAATGTACACCAATGGCATCAATGGCATAACCACCACGTCCATGGAATCCAACAAGGTTTTCTCCATTTTCACCTTTAAATTCGAATTCTGTTCCCTTTATCTCACCGAATAATGGAGAGGTGGTTCGTTTGGAAGTTGTGAAGTACAGCGATGTAATAAGTGTTGTATCATAGTTGAAAATATGCTTGTAGCTTCCACCAACGGCTGTGATATAATCATTCGGATAAGCCACCGAAAACTGTATTTCATTTTAATTAAAAACCAGTAACTAATAGTGAACCAATTGTATATATATTAACAAAAACATATAGAAAACATATGTTTATATATATTTGACCTCTTTTAGCTCCCCTCGCTTTGTTCCGTGTTCACGGATTTCGACTTTTCCATTATTTTCATATTCGATCTTGATATAAGTTATACTGTATTCATCTGCCCCAATGGTTACTTTCTTCACACCATCCAAAACACCATCGTCAAATGTGTTTCCCTTGTTACCACCGAGCGGTCCCATAGTTGTTGTAGCGGGAGGTGGAGGTGGAGGTGGTGTAGGAGCTGGGGGTGGAAGAGGCGCAAAATGTGCACCAAGAGCATCGATAGCATCACCGGACCGACCACAAAACCCGACAAGCTTGAAATCCTTTTCCTCGAACACAAATTTCTTACCAACGACATTGCCAAAGGCAGGGGAGGTTCTTCCTTTTGATGTCTTAAACCTAAGAGATGTAAGGTAGCCATTGATGGTTCCCTCGACGGACGTAATATGCTCGTTAGGATAATCCACCACAAACTGCAACCAAAAAAATTATATAATTATAAAAATCTCAATAAGCACAAAACTAAGCAAATTTTATATCAAACATTAATACCTCCTGTGGAACCTCTTGTCGCTTCCCATGAGCATGTGGCACCATTCCTTGGCCTTTTGCATACTCAAACCTCACATAACTCACAAATTTACCACCTCGTCCAACAAGTATTTTTCTAACACCGTCGAAAGCGCCATCATCCCACGCACTCCCTCCATTCCCACCTTGATTGTTAAAGTGCTTAAGAGGAGACTTCACAGCGAAAAACTGGGCTCCAATGGCATCAAGAGCTTGACCAGAACGTCCATGGAAACCAAGAAGCTTTCCACCATTTTTACCCTCGAGCATGAATTCTCTCCCAGCTGGATGTCCACATAAGGTCGTATGACCGAGTATGGGAGAGGTCCTACTATAGGAGGTTTTGAAGATTAACGATCTGATAAGAACTGTTCCATAGCTTAAAACATGTTCGTAGCTTCCACCAACAGATGTGATATATTCGTTCGGATAATCCACCGTGAACTATATTTCATTTTCCATTAGAAACAAATGTATAAGGCAGTAAAAGTAACACACTGAAGAATACAAAGACAGGATCTATTACCTCTTGAAGTTCTCCACGAATAGTTCCATGTTCACGAGTTTCAAATTTTCCATCCTTTTCGTACTCAATCTTGATATAAGAAACACTGTTGAAGTCTTTTCCGACAGTTATTTTCTTCACACCATCGAAAACACCATCGTCAAATGGTCCGCCCTTATTACCACCCACTGCTCCCACTTTTTCAAACATTGTGTTCATCTTTTAACTTCAACGAAAACCTTGGAAAGAAGTGAATTTCTTGTTTCAAAAACACACTAACAAACTGAAGTAACACAAACTCAGTTTTTTATATAGTAGCACTAAAGAAAAAGAAAATGTCTTCTTCGAATTAGTGTTTCTATTACTGGGAATACTTTAATAGGAAACTGTCTATATATCTCCTTTGAGTCTTTAACATGAGTATTATTTTATTTTTTTTTTTTTGCTAAAAACATGAGTATACTTGCAATTTGCATGCTCTTTTTTGGCAACATACTTATTAAAAACAGGAAAATCATGAACAAACTTGTATTAACATATAGAGAGATAGAGGGAGACACCTGACTCTTGAGGGTTGTGTTACTCTTAGGTTACTAGATGTGAGTGAGACTGATATGGCATTATGAGTGGTGCTAATCCCTATTTATACACTCCATGTCAGCTTTTACTTCTTTTTTTTTTACTTATACTTATATCATCTTCGCACGTATTTTTTTTTGAACAACACATCTTCACACGTTATACACACAATGGACCCATTTAGGCACCTTCACACGTTATACACACCATGGACCATTTATGCATATTTTTTTTGCTTTTTAGTATTTATAAGAGATACAATATCCCACATCAAAAAATTTAAAAAATCTTAAATAATATATAAAAAATTATGATTAATTTACTTATTGCCAATTAATTTTAAGTTGAAAACCCATGACAAAATTTGAATTTAATAGTAATTCCTTTCTCCCTATTTTGAATGTTGTTTTAGTTTATAATTTAAGATCGAAATTGTCAAAAAAAAAAATTTATAGAAAAATGGAAACACCTCCCCCCCCCCCATGGCATCATCTGCGTTACTGATAAAGACATAACAAGAAAAAAAAATTCCAAAAGCAGTCATAACAACTGTCATTATTCTATTTAGTTACTGTTTGAATTAATTAGATTGATTTATATTTATAATTATGAAGACTTACTATAAATTGTTGAAGTGTTTTTAAAAGTGGGAGACATATAAACGTCACTTTATGCATAGGACATTCCTTTTCGAGAACTCTTTAGACTCAACATGCGTGGTCCACCCAAACCTAGCAAATAATGTAAACTGGGAAAAAATCAAGGAGCTAGTATTCAAATAAAATATTTTTATTTATTTTCTTTATAATATAATATTTTATGCAATACAAATGTGTTTAGGAAAAAGTACCAATTTTGACCCCCATAACTTTAGTCATGCCAAATGCAACCCAAACAAATAGTAAGCGTTAAATACGAGTTCACTTTAGTTATAGTTCAAAAAACTACCCAAACATCTTAAAGCATGCTAAAATCTACATTGATTCTGATAGAAGTTAGTCAACCGTTAACAAGATAAAACGATGTCGTTTTGATATATAGAAAAAGTGCCAATTTCGACCTAATCAATTTCAGTCGTGCCAAATACGATCCGAATGGTTAGTGCTATATATGACCTCAACTTAATTATAATTAAAGAAAACTACCCAAACTTTTTAAAACATGTTTAAATCTACATTAACACAAATATAAGTTAGTCAACCATAGCAAGATAAAGTGACGTCATTTTGATATACAGTGAAACCTCTTTAAATTAATAATGTTGGAATTACACCAAAACTATAATTTTTATTAATATATAAAGATTATTAATTTATCAATATATTAATTAAACCAAAAAATCAATTCAAGAGTATAAAATTATATTATATAAAAAAAAATTAATGTATATTAATTTAAAAAAGTCATACTATATGTATTTTTTAAATATGCCATTCCGGTATTCAAGCCATTCCAGTATTCAAACCCGTGCCGTTTGATAACAACATAAGTACAATTTTAAATATGTGTACATTTATTAGCTAACACCATAATCAAACCAAAATTTTGATAGTTCCAAATCACAATCATTTTGTATCATCTCAAAAAGTTTACCATGTGTATACAACCATCATGCACAAAAAAATATTTTACATATTTTCTGATGTGAACGAATATTTCATGTCTGATAAAATTACAGAAGCTGACTTAACAAAGACGTCTACACTAATTAGCTAACATAGTCAAGCGGAATTTTTTTTATTTTATACTAAGTTAATTTCTTTTCATTTTCATGAAATTAAATTAACATAAGTTATGATAATTATTTGTGCTAAAATATAGTTATTAATATTATGATACTAATATTTTATATTATTAATAATTAAGAAAAACATAAAATATTCAATTTAAAATTTAGAGTATGGAATATCTATTATGTTTTAATAAATTTGAATTTGAATCATATAAACTAAAATTTCTTATAAAAGTAAATACTTTTATGCATTTGATATAAAACCGAATAAATGAAATACCGATAATATATAAATAAAATGAAACTAAAATAAATACGTTCTTTCCGGTATTCAAATCTGTGCCATGAAACATATATATATCAAAAAGACGTCGTTTTATCTTGCCAACAGTTGACCAACTTCTATTAGAATTAATGTAGATTTAAACACGTTTTAAGAAATTCAGGTAATTTATTTTAATTATAATTGAGTTGATGTTGTATTTAGCAGTTACCATTTTTGGGTCGTATTTGGCACACGATTGAAATTGTTGGGGGTCTAAATTGGCACTTTTCCTCGTGTATCAAAACAACATTGTTTTATCTTGTTAACGGTTGACTAACTTTTGTTAGAACCTATATAGATTTAAGCACATTTTAAGATGTTTGTATAGTTTTTTTGAATTATAATTGAGTTGGGTCGTATTTGGCACTAAATATTTATTCAGGTTGTATTTTGCACGACTTAAATTGTTGGGATCGAAATTGACACTTTTCCATACATTCCTTGTTCGAGAACTCTTAAGACTCAATGTGTGTGGTCTACCCAAGTCTAGCGAATAATGTAAACCTGGGGAAAAAAAAATCAATGGCTAGTATTCGAAAAAATGTTTATTTATTTTCTTTATAATATAATACTTTATGCAATACATATGTAATATAACATTTTATGTATAATATAATATTTTATGTTTAAATACAGCATTTTCAATATAATAATAAGATTTTAAGATTCATTTAAATACTAAATTAGATCATAAAACATAATGTGAAGTAAGGAGGAGCACAAAGATCATCTGAGACTGGTTATGGAGAGGTAACGAAATCAGAAGCTATTTGCGAAGTTCAGAAAATGCTCGTTTTGGAAGAGAGAGAGATAAGATTTCTGGGTCACATAGTATCAGGAGAGGGTGTGGCTGCTGATCCAGAAAAAGTACAAGCCATACATGAATTGCCTCGACCTACCACTGTGATAGAAGTAAGGGGTTTTCTCGGACTTGCGGGCTATTATCGGAAGTTTGTTAAGGACTTTTTCTCCATTGCAAAACCTTTTACTAAGCTTACCGGTAAAGGAGCTCCTTTCATTTGGGCGGAAGAAACCGAGAAGGCATTCAAAAATTTGAAGGAAGCTTTCTCAACCGCACCTGTGTTAGCTTTGCCTGAATAAGGTAAACCTTACAAAATATACACGGATGCTTCACGAGTTGGGTTAGGCTGTGTGCTGATGCAAAATGGGAGAATTATTGCATATGCTTCACGAAAACTACGGAAGCATGAAGATAACTACAGTACAAATTACTTGGAGTTAGCGGCCGTGGTGTTCGCTTTGCGAATTTGGAAATCTTACTTGTACGGAGAAAAAGTAGGGGTATACACAGACCACCAAAGTCTTAAATACCTCTTCACCCAGCCAGACCTCAACCTGTGTCAGCGTAGGTGGATGGAGTTTGTGGCATACTACGACATAAAGATTCATTACAATCCTGGAGTTTGTGGCATACTACGACATAAAGATTCATTACAATCCTGATAAAGAAAGAAGTGGAGATGTTGAACCAAGAGTTGAAACAAGTGAAGTTGGTCATTTTGGAGGGACATACAAGTGTACCACTGGGACTAAGAGCAGTGAACCAGGCCTGCTTGATTCAGAGAATTCGAGAGGAACAACTTAAGGACGAAAAGCTACAGAAGATCGTTGAAGAACTCAGAGGACAAGCCAGACCAAATAGTGCTGGATACTACTTGGTGGAGGATGGAACTTTTCTAATTAATGGAAGGATCACCGTCCATAAAAGGCAAGAACTGAGAGAAGAGATACTAAAAGTTGCACACCATTTTTTACTTAGTAACCATTCTGGAAGTTCGAAGATGTACCGAGATGTGAGAAGATATTATCGTTTTCCGGGCATGAAGAGATCAGTGTGGGAGTCGATTTCACCCTACTGTCAAAAAAATCGTAAATAAGGAAACTTCGGGAAAACCCTAAGTTTCCAGAGGAACCGGCTATCTGCGAGAACCGCACAACAAAGATTAAGATGACGAAAACACTTAGAATTAAAACGAAAATAAGCGAGATTGAAAGCAAGAAGGTTCTTATTCCGAATCTGCGTTGAACTGGTACAAAGAGAGTAGCCGAAAACGTAAGAACTA